TGAAGCCCAATCTCAAGAACAAGCTGAATTTCGCAAAGGATTCAGCTGCATGGACCACATCCAGACGATTTTGAGGGTCATAGAAGTCTGCCGGGAGTACCTACTGCCTCTCGCCCTAACCTTTGTCGAATACGAGAAAGCCTTTGACAGCGTCAAAACCAAAGCGATTCTGTCAGCGCTACTCGATCAAGGAGTGGATAAACCTTACGTGAGGACGTTTGCCGACTGCTACAAGGATTCTACGACGATGCAGCTATTTCATCGCCCCCTGACCATCCCAGTTGGGAAGGGAGTCCGAGGCCAAACAATTTTGCCAAAGCTGTTCACCGCGGCCTTGCAATGAGTGATGAAATCACTGGACTGGGACGAAAGAGGCATACGAGTTGATGTCAGATTCCTGGCGAACCTTCGTTTTGCGGACAACATCGTTCTCTTCTCGAGCAATATTACTGAAGCATAGACGAGGCTGAAGGAAAACGACGTAGGGAAGAAAATAGGACTGCGATTACATCGGAAGAGACTCATCATGAAGAACGCCCTTTGCGAAGATGCAGCAATTAAATTAGATGGCACCCCTATCGTGGAGACGTCTTCTTACGTGTACCTCGACGTTCGATGAATATGGAGAACAACTAGGGAAGAACTTAGAGGCAGCAGCTCGCCAAAACCGAAGATCCCAAAATTTTGACATGGAAGGTTGCTTACACCCCAAACATGAGAGTAGAGCAGTTGGAGCGCATTGCACGGTGTCCTTTCCTAGAAAGCTGCCCTTAAAAACCGCTACGCGCAAGCCATTCCAATATGCGCGGACGAGCTTGCAATTTGTTTTGCTGGTACATGACGTAGAACTTACTATGTTCGGCTGCCTTTTAATCTTGTCATGTTATGTAGTCGTATATAATAGTATCTAGCAAAGAGACAAGATTGTTATGAACTTTCTATTGGCCGACGTTTCGACGGCTTCACCTTCGTCAGAGCTTGAGAGGTCAAAGTGAGAAATCTTTTCTCTCAGTCGTCAGCAGAAGGTTCAATTTGCATTCGATCGGCTACGTGCTTGGAATTACAGTAGAGGCCCACCTCTGAGACCAGCATGAGAGCTATAGCGAACACGTCATGATAAGACCATCCCTTAACTCTTTCTATATGTGCTCACGATCAAATCCACATAAAGATGGATAGGCTGACAAACTTAAACGTGACGGTGATACACTCTTCTTTAACATTCATTTCTGAATTTTTCGTAAAAATCCAAAAGGCCTCTAATGTTTTGCTTGCAAGGGTCTCAGGACCAAAGAATAGGCATTACCTCGAATACCTTGCCGAAATAATTGACCGATATACTAATCCCGGGCTGGATAGCGTTGATTGGAAGTACCTGGATGTAATCTTGAAGAGATTCAGTGACCTTTTTTTGAAAAATGAAAATCTCTGGTGAATTCAGCAGTGCAGTCCGTCACTGGTTATAGCAAACTAGTCTAGAAAACCTTGTCAGAGTTGTCGATACACCGCCCGCCAACCTTGAGAAACGCCCAATACAAAATCGCGCATACGATCGCAATTGCCAGACCCCAAACTGTGTTCGTCCTTACAGGAAAGATGGCGACTGTATGATTTTCGGTTTAGGATGTCTCATAACATGCTTGTCATGTGGAGATACTTATATTGGTGAGATTAGACGGCCTCTTTGCTGCCGCATAAAGAAACATCTAAACGAACTCAACAATTGAGAAAAACCACATCTCTAGCTTCACACGGCATTACGCGCCATGACGGTACGGTGTTTCAAGTTGGAGTAAAGACCCTGTCCTTTGAGCCTGAGACCCTTGCACGCAAAACATTAAAGACATCTTGGATATTCACGAAAAATCCAGAAATGTATTTTGAAGAAGAGTATATCACCGCCGCGCAAGAGTTATCAGCCTATCAATCTTTATGTGGATGTGATCGTGAACACATATAAAAGAGTTGAGGGATGGTCTTGTCATAACGTGTTCGCTATAGCTCTCGTGCTAATCATCCGAGGTGGGCTTGACTACCGTAATTCCAAGCACGATCTAGCCGATCGAATGCAAATCTGAGCCTTCTGTTGACGATTGAGAAGAAAGATTGCTGACTTTGACCTTCCAGGCTCTGACGAAAGCGAAGCCGGCGAAGCGAAGCCCAATGAAAAGTTCATAACAATCTTGTCCCTTTCTAAACACTATAATAACGAGCTTGCGATTCTCCCTGACCCGTCAGAAAAGGCACGCCGCAATGTTACTGCGAGGGTCCCGCAACGATTCTGCCTCTCAACCACTCAGATAATCGCCGGGGGCAGGCGGTCCACAACTCGCGCTTTTCTGCAGGCGGTCAGCAGAATTTTGGGGCGTGGCCAAACCTTCAGCGGGCGGCACTTCCTTTACGGTCGCATATTCTGCCAGCGGGCAGCAATACAGCATTTTTTGCAAGCGCTTGGCAAATAATTTCTTTCAGCGAGCGCTGGCCAAACTTTCAGCAAGCGCTCGGACTCTTCTTAAGCATTTTCGGGCGTACGTCGAGCGCAGGTAAGACTGTGTGGCAGAGGTGTCACCGTTGGTTTAATTACTCAAGTTTGAGGTACTTTCTCTCAGCGAAAAGTACCTGGGGGTTTCGCGGTCCTCCAAAAAGGACCGTGCGGCCCTCGAAATTTTTGCATATTCTCGCGGAAAGTCCGCGAGAATGCGGCCACTGCGCCGCAGCTAATCCATAAAGAAACCGCGATTGTTCTTCAAGCATTCGTCTTCAATTTCGCCAACTTTCTTCCAAATTTCTGCAAGCGGGCCGCAAATAATCAACGAACTATTTTTCCGGTGCGCGCTTGCTCAAAATTCGCATGGCCGCCTGCCCCCGGCGGTTATCTGGGCATGGCGGGACGTGCTCCACTCATCCAGATTAAAAATGGGAGGCCTCGGGTAATGTTGTTTTGGCATTTTCACGCTCTTCAAAGTGAGTTTTCGGAATCAGCGCCTCGAATTACGCCAGGTAACCAAAAAACTTCAAGTCAAGAATCTGCCGAGCGCTGCTTTTAAAGTCAGGTCCAGGCAAATCTGGACATATGGGATCTCAAGTGGACACTAATTTTGTGACCCTGACTAAGACACTGCCAACCGGCAGATTAGATAGTGCTCTAACGGCTGAGATATTCGCCTCCAAACTGACCCCGTGATCATATTGTGCATGGATTCATGGCGCGACACATCAGTTTCGCGTGGGTCTCGCGCGAAAGCATGCAAACATGATGCAAGTCGTCCGGTAATATGATCCTGGAGTCCGGAGGCTTATTACTCAGCCGTTAGTGAGTCATTTGCGCTGCCGCTTGGCTTGTCTCAGTTAGGGCCTGAAATTTCCACGTGCAGTCCCCATAGGTCCAGATCTGCCTGGACGCTGCCTTTGAGAAGAAGAGCAGCTTGGGCCGCCTTCGGCCCTCTGAAGGAAGCTCCTTCAGAGGAAGCTGCTCTGGCTAACAACTGACGACCCGGAGCTTCGTGCCCACCTGTCCGACTCTAACGTCCTCCCGGCGCTCTGTTACGCAGCTGAGACTTGGACCGACGCTGTAGCCATGTTGAAAGCTCTACGGACCACCCACAGAGCGCTTGAGCGCAGTTTTCCGAAGATGAGCGACACAAGCAACATCTTGTCAAACTTCGCAGTATGGACTTGAGAAGAATGTCCCGTCTTCGTGACCCAGCGGAATACCTTGCGAAAGCGAAACATCAATGGGCCGATCACACCATGAGAAGAACAGATGATAGATGGACACTAAGAATATCGGAGTGGATTCCTCGTGAAACGAAACGTCCCCGAGGAAGACCCTCAACGGATGGGCAGACGTGTTCGCGGAACGGATAGACCAGCTGAGAAATCAGCTGGATACGACTTTCGCCCCTGAAACTCGTGGAAGCAGTCACCGACGACAATCAAAAGAACGTGAATGTCTGAAGCTAAGACGAGGGGTACCTCGACATTTTGTATTTTTTGAGATGATTTTTTTTTCAGATACTGCGCCCTCTCATCCAAACCCCTCTTCATAAAACTCATTAAAAAAATAGGACTTCCCTTTCACCATGCCTTTTACAAAGAAACTACAAAAATACCTTCAAGCTGAAAATTTTGTTGAGTTATGATGGATATCGCATCAAGCAAGATGCCTTTTTTCCAAAAATTCGTGACAGGATTTTCTAGCGCTATCTTATCACAATATCATTTCTGGGCGAGCTCTGGGCAACATGAAGATGATTATTCGATAACTTTCGATTCTCTTCTATCAATCTTCTTTGAGCCAAATTTTCCGAACAATCTCCACTGAGATTCACCTCGAAACAGCTAATCTCAAAACGACGATCTAGCTTACAAAAACTCAGCCTGATACACAAAAATAGAACAGACGACAGATGGACACTAAAAACATCAGCGTGGATTCCTCGCGAAACGAAACGTCCCCCAGGAAGACCTCCAATATATGGGCAGAGTGTCGTGGAACGGATGGACCAGCTGAGAAATTAGCTGGATGCGACATTCACCCCTGAAACTCGTGGATGCAGCCACCGACGACAACCAAGAAGATCGTTTATGTGCGGAGCGAGGGACAGGGATCAATGGAAACTTCTGTACTGGGACCCGCACGTCACGTGCGGATGGGCCATTTAAGTATCTGAGTAAGGATTCTTCCTCCAACTAGTATACCCATAGCCAGTGTAAATCCGCGCCATCGGGCTGCCTTTCAACGAACTATATTTGCTGGCACTCGGAAAACTTCTCAATTTGAACGTCCATAACTCCGCCCAGGTAGTCGTTCGGCAGATAGTAAACATACAGATCAGCCAAGGCGAGTGCGATGTATACAACTTGTATGAAAAGCAGGTTTAAGTTCTGATCATTTCCTACAAAGCGGCCTCCCTGAACATTTTGACACTGCAACTCTACACAAGGTTTGTGCTTAAACGAAAGATCATGTGATCGAATCTAATATTATCTTCACCTACCTCTTCCTCGTCGGCATACTCCTCGCGTGCTCCTGTTTCGACATCAACTGTTGTGCTATTAACAGGTGGTGGAGGCTTACGAGCTCGTGATTGTCCTAATAATCACGAGTATATTAGTAAGTCCACATCAGTCGTATCCATAACCAGTCACAAAGTAATTTTCACCAAAAAGGCCATCCGCGGCCATGACCCTGTACGCGAGAACTGCATTCGAGCAGAACAACGAGAAAATCACGAAAATGGTAAGGATAGTATGCAACCATGGAATGACTGGGATTTGAACTATCTGAAAAAACAGGCAATATAATATATATATATATATATATATATTAATGACCAGAGGAAATAAACTTACCGCCCAATAAACGAGGTAGAAAGATACGCTTATTCGAAAAACAGCTAATGTCACCATATTGAGCAATGCCACAAGACGGAAAGATGTCGATTTCTTCTTCACACCATACCTGGAACATTACTTATTCAGCAAACGCTGCCATACATTAGCCTCCGTAGAAGAGAATCCCCTCCCTCCCCCCATCGAGAACGTGTCGCAAGATTCTTGAAAGTACAGTCGAGTAGATTTCCTGCTTAATATAGTGTCCCTGCAGACGCGACAACGCTGGGGCGTCAATAATTGCCTGACGAGTTCCCGAGCTAGTGTTTTCCAGTGTTTTCTTTGCTTATTCTATGTTTTTCAGGCGATTCGTTGCTGATAACGAAGAAAAGGGTAAGTTAGAGAGTAGTTTCTGTTTTCTGAGAAGTTTTATCATCGCATATTCACAGAAAAATCCTCATAACGTTTTGAGGGGAAGATAGGTACTAAAAGGGGAGAGGTAAAAACAGTAAGAGAAAAACCGAAATGTTCAAGTTCTGAGTTTCATTTAGAAATGGATTGCCACAAACTAAAATCAGACCAGCTGTTCCCGCTTCTTCCACTAGGCTGGAAACTAATTTGCAACTACCTCATAACTCAACTCTCTTTAGGTGTGGCGCGCTCAAACTTTGGACAAAAAATCTTTAAATTTTGAAAACGAATTGGAAAAATTCCAGGCATTTTTCGAAAATTAGTGTATTTTGAGAATTTTTGGGCTTATAAGCTGAGCTGAATAGGCGAAGTGAAGGACGAAACGTTTATTGCATAGAGCGATCAGCAAAAAACTGAATTCTCCCTCGACTTATATACCATGCATATTCGATGCCGAGGAATACAAATGAATCGTTAGTGGCCGAGGATGCCGAGAAACACAAATGGATCGTTAGTGGCCGAGGATGCTGAGGAATACAAATGAATTGTTAGTGGTCGAGGATGCCGAGGAATACAGATGGAAGTGGCTGAATGGCTGAAGATGCCGAGGTATACAGATGGATCGTTAGTGGCCGAGGATGCTGAGGAATGCAATTGAATCGTTAGTGCCGAGGATGCCGGCCTGATTTTCTGTAGCTTTACAGAGACTCTCCACGAGGGAGATGCACAGTCAAGAATGTTTGTGATGATACGAAGGAAGAAGAAATTTCTTGTAATACAGTAAGAAGGTGCATAAGAGGAGAAGGACGAGTACAATAGGGAAAGTAATCGTTTTCAAATTTCGTACAATGATTTTAGGAACATACAAAAGGAGACTTTCAAATTGATTATTCAATGTGTCCCAGTAAGTGTTGCTTTTGGGAATGCCAGGTTGATTGTCGGCTAGCGAGTCGTCCTCAATTGTGTCGTCATTGATGTAGTGTAGGCGTCCATAAATTTTTATCTTTTCCCTTTGGGGCAACTGAATTTACAGTCCACAGAAACAGATGAAGTGTTGAAATAAAATCTCAGTTTGTTTAGAAAACCATTCTTTGTGCACTTTGCTACTTGATTTTCGTTCGGGCACAAGACATAAGCTAACGTGTCACCTTCCATGCTCCTGCATGATAAACGAAGCTCAGCACCGCTGATGCAGCTGCAGCACCCTACAAGGTCGCTTACATCTACTTCGCAGGAGGTATGCGTTTGTCGAGCAGTAATTTTCATGTTTTCGGCAACGACTTGAATTTGTAGCGCTGATCCAACCCTTGTTTTCGCGTATATTTCGCCACTTTGACTGAAAACCGCATAGGCTTTAGAGACTTGAGGTAACGGAGCACTTTTCATGAGATTATGGACGTTTCCTGTGCTGCATATGCAAGACACCTTCTGTAATCCATCAGTGCATGTGCATGCTCTACTACTAAAGGTGCAATTGAAGTCCTTTGCGTGGTTTTGGGAGGCACATTGAAGTTGGCCAGCGCTCTTTGGAGTCAGCTGCCCTCTGTGTGCGGGTTCAATGATGAAAGTTTCCTTTCCTGTTGAAATGAACGCCGATGAGAGTATTGGTAGCTGTGGACTAATGGCAGTTGTGAGAGTGAATCTCAGATAATTCCAAAGGCTTGTTTGTCCTGGGTATAATCTTAGGACTGTAGAGGAGGCGTCGAAACCGTCTTGTTGAAGTGTTACAGCGGCGTTCACGCCTACCTCCCAACTGGGGCAAGTAAATATGCGATAGATCGTTTCACTGGTAGGGACGGCGTAGATTCTGTAGAATAGGCAACTGGGCTGGCACATAAAGCAGCCTTCACAAGTGAGGCATCCACAACTGGATGAGCAATATGTATATCCTGGGTGTTCATTGGCTATCCTTGAAATTTCCTCGAGTTTGTCCTTTGGTGAGATGTTATCGCATGTATTTTCTTGGCAACTTCCGGCCAGGTAACATCTGTGTATTGACTCCGATTTCAACTGATGATTTCTGGTGAAGAATTCAAGTTTTCGGTGACATTTGAAGCGTATTCCATCAATTTTGATGGATAGAGTAGCAAGTATAACGCCGTGATGATTTCTGATCGCAAGGCATGTTTCCTGTAGCAAAGGTTGAAGGGTCAGGACTGTTGCTTCATCGTAAGTACACGTCTCAGAGCCGTTCGAAAGATGACAGACTTTCTCAGTAGCCGTAATGGAAGTGACTTGTGCGCACTCTTGTGTACATTGTGATTCAAGTAGGGAAACGAGGATGCAAAGCAACAAACTCCTTTTTCTAGTTCGATGCCGTCGGCAGATGTATGGACGGACAGTGGATCGTTGTCGTAGAATTTTTGGTAGGTGACGAACCGGTAAGAATTTCCCTATGGACGAACATGCACATCTTATGAGAAGTTTGAAAAATTTCCAAAGTAGAGCGACAATCTTGATGGTCAAAAGTACCCATGGTAATAGAAGCGAAATGAAAAATATTCCGGTAGCTGCAAAAGCTATCTCTGTTAGAGTCCAGCACTGTGAGTTGTAGAGCTTTTGAAGATAAAATGTGCATCTCAGCATCTCGCATAAGGGATGAGCTCTGCAGTGTGCCTTCGTTTGATAAGGTCTCGAAGTGGTCCAGATAGTTAGTATGACCGTATTGTCCTATAGAACGATCGAGTTTGAGAACACTATATCATGCGAGAGAGCTTCTTCAATGAAAACGCAGTACTGTTCTACACAAGCTTTGATAAATTCGTATCTGGATTTGATCGTCAGCGATAGTCCTCCCTTCACACATTCAGTGACGAGTTGTAAGTCATTTGAGGTTTCTTCCGTAGTGTTCGATATGAGTAGTATATCATCCGAGTCGTTCATTTTGTTTACTATGTTGCTAGCAAACCCATAGTAGGTTTTTGCCACAGACCCCCAGGCCTTGATCGGTATTGTTAGATTGCTTGTAGTGTTAGGGATCAGCATTGTCAAGGGGTTGTCATAGATGCAGAACAGACGTGCTCGTAGATGACATTTGTGTCTCTTGCAGAACTGGGATGTTCTTGTGATAAACTTCGTTGCTTGACGCTTCCGACCCTTTTTGTCGAAGCATATGAAGTCGTGCTCGTTGACATAATCGCGGATGCTTATCAATAAGTTTTCTACCAACAGTAGCTCCTCATCGTATAGTTGTACTTGATTGAAGAAGCCTAGTTTCTTTGTTGTATCGCATGAGGAAGAAAATTCGAATGAACACACGTATTCGGGTTGATAATGTAGGACAGAAAGTGGTAATTGTTCACGATATGATAGCGTTGTGTATGAGCTTTCGCTAAAGGAACATGCGGATGCCCATGCAGGACATTCACATTTTTCTCCGCATAATGTTGACGAGTTGTGTGAGAATCGTATATGACCAAGTGGGCACAATACTGGGAACCAACAGAAGGGTTTACCTTTAGCATTGATTCGTGCTACGGCGATTCCCTTTGGTACGCAATTGGTTGCATACAATATCGTTTTCTCGTCCATAAGGTCGTCGGAACAGCGGGTGTAGTCTGTTTCGACCAATGAGTGAAAATTTTTCAAAGTTTGAGAGGTCGTTATCATAGTGCAAAGGAGCAAGCTGAGACAAAGTACGGTGGTGCTTGCCTGTAACCTTGCCCTTGATCTGGTTATCATGGGATGTCTCGATTGCTCGGTTTCATCTGACGGCGGAGACACGTCTTCCTTCTTGAAATCCTTCGATTCGGGGCCTAATTCCATCTTGTGAACGAGGTTATTGGGGCGTGTGATAATTCGTTTTGAAGGCAGACGTTTTTCAACTGATCTTCGAAAATTGTTTTGGGATCCGACCACTTCTCCCATTTTCCACTGTCCTTTGTTCAGGAACTCGTCATGTATAAGCACGTAGTCCCCCTTTTTTTGGTGCATCATCTTCGTGCGATCTGGGCGTTTGGTGTTTGTCCTTGAAGTGTTCTCTCATAGCAGTAAGATATTCAGTTGTCCACCTTTTCCAAAAGTTAGAAAGGAATTTGTTTGTACGACTCCAATCCGCCAACAACGTGGTGTGATTTGTTGGATTCGGTATCCAGTCTTCCTCGTGATTTTCGGGTTGACTGCTGCTAAGTAAGGCATACGGTCGAATGAAAACGATAGGACGCAACGGCAAATAGTTTGATTCATCAACATAGTAGGTAAGTGGTCTGGTGTTCACTATAGCCTCAGCTTCTTTGGCTATAGTCTTGATATCCTCAATGTTTAGTAGACTGTTTCCGATAGAAAATCTGTACGACTTCTTGAAAATATCTATCATCTTTTCATACATACCTCCTTGCCATGGACTCAGGCTTGGGATAAACTTCATCTCAATTCATCGTTTCGAGCAGTAGTCAATTAAGTCCATGTTGGTCTGAGGCTCAGGGAGAGAAGCGAAGCAGCGATTGATCGTTTTGAAAGATTGGGCATTGTCGCAGATAATCCAGGATGGGCATCCCATGGTGGCAAAAAAGCGTCGTAGAATGTGCAAGACGGTGTGCGCGGACATATCGAGGATGACATCTACGAATATAGCTCTACAATTCAAACATGTGAGCAAAATCATCCAATAGTTTCCAGTTGACTGTTCTTGAGTTGTGTATGAAAGGGGTCCAAAGAAGTCCATGCCGGTGTTTTGGAAGGGGTACTTTGTAGGCGGTCTCACTCTCCTGTCGGGATGAACTGGGAAAGGTGGAAGAGCGAAGGGCTTTGCTTGATATTTTTATTTTATTTTTTTAATTTTTTTTCTTGAAGCAATCGTGGTGTATGATTTTCTTCACGACAGCCCTTCCTTGGGGAATCCATGCTCTTAAGCGGCAGAGTGTCAAAGTATGATTGACTCCGCAGTGATTGTTGACTTGATGGACGTGAAGCACAAAAAGCGAGGTAATCCTATTCACGCGTGGCAAGAAGACTGGAGTAATTGCTTCCGAAGGCATATTAGCGTAGTCTATTCGGCCTTTGCTTTTCCATAGCAGACTCTGAGGGCATTGAAAAAGATGAAGTTGTTTCTTGTGTTCTTCGGATGGCGGAGTCACCGCCTGAGCAAGGCGAAATATGATAATTTCCGCATTATTCAGACGCGCTACCCTTGAGTATCCAAATATTGTAGTCGCTCTTGGTACCCTAACCGTTATGAATTTCAGAACATAAGCAAGAGTGTTTACCAGCTTGTTCCATGTGCTGAAACGAGATGCATCTATGACCATATTGTTCCATTTGTCATGATCACCATTTTTGTTGGATGAGAAGACACATATGCGAGGAGAATTGCACGAAAACGTTTGAGACTTCTTTTCCTCCTTTGCAGTTTCTGTGTTGGTGCTTCCAAAGGTTTCCATCAAGTTGGAAGGCCACGATTCTGGTTTCTCCCGAAGAAATTTTGGTCCGCTCCACCACTGTTTGAACTTTGATAGCTCTTCAACCGAAGCTCCTCGTGTTCCTACATCAGCAGGATTGAGTTCACCGGGAATATGTCGCAAAATGACATCTACGGTGTTTTCGTGTATGATCCTTACACGATTTCGGACGAAGACGGGAAGATCCCTATTGCTTTAGTCCAAGCTGGGGATACTATGCTGTCGGTCCAAAGATACTTTCTTGAAATGCAAATGTCGAGTTGTTTCGTGATATATGTGAGAAGTTTTGCACCAATCATCAGCGCGGCCAGTTCTAATCGTGGGATTGTAATGGATTGATTGAGAGGAGCTAATCTGGATTTTGACATGAGCAGCGATATCTTTGTGGGTTTGTCAGTATGTCGTTGCACGATATAAGCAACCGCGCAATAGGCGTGAGCTGAGGCATCGATAAACACGTGAACGTCGAAGTTTGCCGAAAAATCGTTCGGATCGATGATCAATCGTTGTACAATCAGCTCCGGTATTGTCCAGGAAGAAATTATTTGATGCCACTTGTTGTATTGCTTGTTAGGTAGGGTTTCATCCCAAGATAAGTCAATCTTCCAGAGTGATTGCAGGAAAAGCTTCGCAACGAGAAGGACCGGAGAAAATAATCCAATCGGGTCGTAGATTTGAGCGATATGTTTCAAAACCTTTCTCTTGTCCATACGAAGTCGCACTTGGGCGTTTCAGGCAACGAAATGATAAGTGTATCATTCTCTGTGTTCCAGCGTAGTCCGAGTAATTTCTGTATCTGTTGCACTTTACATCTTTCGTTTTGTTCGAAGAATTCGTTCAACTCCTTTGAGTTGCTTGCGTAAGCACGTAGATCATCCCGTGTCGCGTCTCGCGATGCAAGGCGCTCCTCGAAGTACGGAGGCCGGGGGCATCGGCTACCGCGCTATCCGGCGACGATTACGGTAGCCGAGACGCGTGTTGCCGCGATCGTCTCCGGACCTCTCCTTAATTGGCTCGTTGCCAGCCAGGCGGCTATATAAAGCGGCGGCGCCTCATTTGGTTGCCTTGTTCACCTTCGTCTTATTGATTGGTTTTGGACATCTTGTTCGAATTACGTTTCAGCCGCCATGCTCCTGTCCTTTTTTGTAAGAGCAGTTGAGCCGGATGTCTTTTGGATTGGAAAACGGATTTCCTTTTTGTTAGCGCAAGTCGACGCGCCTAGTGCTATCCGGAAATCATCTACAGGAGCAGGAGGGGACGTGCCGTCGTCTACACCTTGGCGTTGCGCGGTGGATTTGTTGCGCGAAACCTCGAGAGCCTCATGTATTTTTGAAAATATCTGTAGTCGCGCATCGGTAGCATGGGACGGGCCCTCGTCCCGTGTTTTAGTAGTAGTAGTATTTGTTTTGTTTTAGTGTAGTATTCTTTTTATTTATTTTAACCGTAGTTTAGTGTCATAAAGATAAACCCCTTAATTAACCTTATGTTTCGTTCTGTCGCGCGTTAGTGCGCAGTAGGCTAGGTACGTCGTTTAGTATCGGGCGAGCATCAAGCCTCGGGTAACATCTAGGTGCAAGAGCCCACCGAGTCGACACATGGTGCATCGACGCCGAGCGCATGGTGGATGCGGTTTTCCGTCCGCGTGTGGGTTTTTCTTTGGGTAGCCGCGTTTCTAAGTTTCGCGCAGTAGTAGCGCAGTTCCTAGCTATCCCATCCCCATGCGTGCGTAACGATCCCGTAGTCTACCACGCTCCGCACCTAGTGTAACATCAGGGAAGTAGTTGGACAGGGCATGCTTGTTGCGTCATCTAGGTTACAGGTAACACATAGCATTGCAGCCGCGCAAAGTATAGCCAGTGCGTGGGGTGACTTAGTGGTAGTTGGTGGCAGCAACTTACCAACTATGATCCCCAGGGCCCAGCGCATTGTCCTATGCTGGTATGGCGGTGGACTCAGAAGGGCTATCTGGAGTGGTATGAGGTCGTTGTTCTGACCTTTTAGCCGTAGGGGCAAGAATTCCGCAGGGGTATCCGCAGGGGCTAATTCGCTGTAGGGGCAAAACCGTCGTAGGGACATCCGCAGGGGAAGGCCACTGCAACAATCCCATACCCATGGCTCCAGGTAGTTCTTTCTGGTATGCAGCCGTTTTGCTTTGTTCATGTGTTATTCGCGTCGCTCTACGGGGAACGCTCTGTCCCTTCTTGACCACCTTGTTCAATTACTTGCCTCGCGCCTACTGCTATCATCCTAACGTTGCGCGCCAATTAAGTTGTCTCCCTCCTTAGGGTTCGTAGTTTAGGTATTTAGTAAGTAATATCTTAAGCTCAGTTTTGAGTTAGTTTAGCGGGTTGCCCCCTAACATTTTCGCGCAATGTTTCTTCTATGTGTGTATGTTTCTCATTCAACGTTGTTCAATCGTTCCGGCTGTCCCTTGCATTTTCAGATATGTCCGCTCTTGGCTATCAGAAGGCTCAACTTACGAAAGCGGCTAACAGACTGCGCAAGAAGATCGCGGAGGTCGAACAGGCCAATCTTGTAATGGAAAGCCCTACATTCGAGCCAGGCAAGGACTACGAACTTGTTAAAAATCATACTCGTTTTCTTTCGAACTTATTTTCTTTGATTAGTCGCGCTGCTTCTTCCTTACGCAGCCAGCGGGAGAAGGCTGAGGAGTTTGCTAGTCAGAACCCAGACGAGCATGGAGAGTTTTCCCTTCTCCAGGAGATTCTCGCGCACTGGGACTCCAGTGAGATGGATGATCTCTTGGATGAGGCGGACACTCTGCTTGATCGTTTGGGTAATGAGATCAAACTCCAGCCTAATGCTGATATGCTCTACGATCGTTATGTTTCTTCGATTGCTTCCATGCCTACAGTCCCCAATTCCAACCTGTCACCAGCGTCTTCTAACACCCTTCAACCCTCTGTCCCCACCCAGCAACTCGCGCAAGATGCGGATGTCGAGCGTGTCACCTATCAGTCGCGCCTGCTGTTCACCCCACTGCGAGCGACTCTGCGATCCCAACACAGGGTGAGCAGTCCTCGCAGCCTCCTCTTGGATCTGGCATTCCCCCGGGCAACCCATCAGTGGACCCCATTCGTTCGGTGAACCCTCACCCCCCTGGGATCCCCATCACTCTGCCATATCCCAGTCCCAACCCCACTAACCCATCCTCGTCCCTAGTCCCACATCCTCCCACCTTGGAGCAGTCGTTCACCATACCCGCATACGACATTCCAGCATTTCACGGCGACATCGCTAAGTTTCCCGCATTTTGGACCATGTTCAAAAAGGCTGTACACAACAACACCAGTGTACCCGTTTCGTTCAAGTTCATGTACCTCCAGTCGCGCATGAAAGGAGAAGCAG